ATTATAAACGCTTGCCGTGGAAGTGGAGGAAAAAAAAAGACGAAATAGTAACTATGTATATTGTTACTTTTGGCGTCATGGAAACAATCTAAAGCTATCGAAACTCACCTTTCTCTTCTTGTGATCCAATTCCCGCTGCGCCTTGTGCATCTCCTTGAGCTCCACCTCCTTCAACTGATCCAGGATGATCTGGTACTTCTCGCGGTTCTCCACATCGAGCGCCACATGGAGATAGTCGTGCCAGTTGCGGGAATCGAAGCCCCAGTGGCAGGTGTGGTTCTCGAACTTGCGATGTACATGACCCACGAATTTCTGGGGCGAGAACCAGCCGTCGCACTCCAGGCACTTGATGCAGGTCGGTTTCTGGTAGGAGTACATGTCCGGAGTGCAGATGCCCTCGCACTTGCCAAAGCACTTGTGATACACGTGGAAGCTGAGAGCTCCCTTGGCCAAGCTCTCGATCGGCACATAGCTGTTCCGGTCCGAACGATGGAGCAGGGCGGCACAGAGGCGCTCCGCATCGGTTCTGGTGATCAGGCCACTGGCCTTGACATCGGATGGCAGGATCTTGGCGGCCTTGAACTCCACCAGCTGATCGTGCGTGCACTGCGAGCAGTAGATGCCCAGTTCATCGAAGATCCGGTTGATCTGCTCCAGCGAGAAGTCGTTGAGGACGTTGTTAAGGAACTGCGGCAGGCACAGTCTCATCTCCCCGCCCACGGAGAAACATCCAATGGTCTTGCCCTCCAGTTTCGTCTCGTACAGTTCCCCACATCCCGCATCCGCCACCGACAAAATCGGCTGGGATAGCTCCCTGGGGGGCGTGGCGGGCGAATATATCTGTGGCGGTGTGCCCCTCGTCGAGCATTCGTGATGATGAAGATCCTGCGGCTCCGGCGAACTGAGTATTTCTTTTTTGATCAGCGCCACAACTGGCGGAGATGCTTGGCACTTGCCGTTGAGGCCAGGACTCTCGCTCCTGCCATTGGTGACTATGTCGAGGACCCCGGCGGCGGTGAGGGCGTGTCCTGGTCCCTGGAGCGATTTCGTGGCACTCGTCTGGTATTTCTTCAAGACGGTGCTGATCATGGGCGTCACGTACTCGTTCATTTTTGGGCAATACTTTAGATAACCAGATTCCGGTCCTACTAGTAATCCATTTTCACCATATGCCGGTTGTGACCCTCTCGATTCTGAACTGGGTTATGCAGATAGTTGCAAAAGGTGTTGCTGTTTATCTGGAGTCTTTATTTAGTTATAGGGTTACGATTGGGATCCATAATATTGATTACTTTAAAGGTTACTTCCACAATCTGTGCGATTCCTTCACTTGCACTTCACTAAACAATTTGGCACATTCGTTGATTGGTTTTTGTTTGATTTTGATTTTGTCAGCTAGTGTAACTAATTTTGTTGCATTTGCATTTCGCCGACGGCATTTCAGCTCGCACACTCGCACACAGGATTCCAATTTCTTTCTTTCACAACTTTTGTCGCGTGTTTCGAATATTTCGATATTATTTCAGTCGTATTTTTAGAAGAAATATATAAATCGGGCCGGCTTTTGTCGGCTGTGTAAAACTAGTGCGCACTTCTCCTATTCCTATTCCTCTGCCCTGCACTTATTAAATTTTCGCCATAAATTAATTCCTCTTCGGCGCAATTTCTTAAGTTGAATTTCTGTATTTCATTTCGTATATCTCAATTTCTGAACTTTTTTATCTTTGCGCTGCACAGACGGCGCACACACACATACACGCACACGGGGACACACGCACACACGCGACGAAGGCCGGCAGACAGAGACGGAAAGGAAAGCACGACCCAGACAGAAAGAGCGGGAGAGGGAGAGAGAGGGAGAACAAAAACAAACGCCGCCTGACAAATTCTTTTATTGTGTCGCTGTTGTTGTTGCTATTGCCGTTGCTGTTGCTGCCGTTGTTGTTGCACTATTTATAAATCTTTTTGCGCTTGCAAATTATTTTTGCACTCGTTATTGAATATTTATTTGTATTACGCCTGGCTGGGCCCCTCTCTTCGCAATATATATATTTCCAATATTTTTTCGCAAGCGTCGCACGTGCGAGCTTTTTCCCCGATATTTATATTCGCCACTCACACACACGCGCACCGAGAGCCACACGTCCGAACGGTTCGAGAGCCGTTAAATTTTCGAACGAAAACTGAGTGTCTGCGGGGTAGAGTGGCCAGTTCTTGCGGCGCCCGTTACGCTGATATTTGTGCTCCCATGTCTTTCTCGCATTTTTCCTTCCCCGCCGCACGGTCACACCAATTCCGCTCTCTGTACCGCTCTCTTAAGTTGTCTCTCTTGCTGCTGTTGCTCCGTTAACAGAAATGTTAAGAAGCAGCGCTTTTCTAACAGAGGCCTCGTACAAAAATATTTAAAAAATAAAATAGCTTATGTTTTTAAGGAAATCAAATTTAAAACAATTACGAATTTAATGGATAAACGATACTGTTTCTATTATTTTAAATAAATGGGTTATCACCTCATTAAAAATAAAAGAAAAGGGAGAGGTGTATTTATCATGAGAAGCTAAATAACAAAATAAGAAATAATTATCCATATTTTCTTATTTTGTTGTGTGTGGCAAATAGTTTATTTTGCATAGTTTAGAAAAGGTTTCCCGCCATTTAAGCGGATAACGTTATCACTTAAGAGATTAGATTTCGGAATAAGACGATTGATTGTCCCGACCAATTTACAATCTTAATCAAAGTTTAATGAAATCAGCAATAGCAAAACTAAAAAATGCCATTTAGTTCGTTTCTAACCGCTGTGCCAAGATGTTGATCAAGTGCACCTATACGTATAGAAAAATGGATTCAAAGACTGCTTTTCTAGCTACAACGCTACTATTTGGTAATTGGCATTTAGCATTTTGAACTTCACCATTTTGGGCGCCAAACATTATCAGTCTCGAACTTTTTATGTCCATTACTCGTGGGGCAATAACTCTCGGATTTTGGAAAGCCTACAATCTAGACAGTTTAGATTTGACACGCATTTCCCCAATTCAGTTGAAATATTATTAAGATTAAGATTGGCGACTACATTTTCAAAGATTTCTTCCAATAAAACTTACATTTAAAAAAATATCGGGTATCTTATAGTTAATTAAGGATTTAAATCTGACAAAAGAGTTTACTTGCCAATAAATCAATATCTAGTATATAAAATCGCATATCGAAGATTTTGTCGAATATAGAAAATTAGTGGATTATTTTAAATGTTGTTGCAAAGGTAAGTCGAGTACAGAACTACAGAGACTGGTTTACAATTAAATCAGATCTTTTATAACTAACACACCACATCATGTAATGCTAAAACGATGAACAGCGAAATTGCTTCGAGGGTATATGAGCGTCGGCTTCGCGAAGCTAGCCACATTTCTCGCCGTTCTCTCGTCTGTCTGCTCTCCGCGTTTGCGCCTTTCCGCCGCTGACAGATTGAAGCAAATTATCGAAGTGCAGTTGCATTGCAGCATTCGGTGAAAGTGGAAGAAGAGTAGAACGGAGCGCATTCCATAAAAACGACACAACAAAGGGACTTTTGTTAAAGTCCACTCTCGCACACATGCTCACTGCGAATTAAACAAATTCACATTGGATTGCTTCGACTGGGCTTGCGTATCAATTCTCGCTGGTAGGTGAGGTGGTAGGGTGAGGAAATGGGCAAATGGGCAAAGGGGCTTATCTATCTGCCATATTATACCCTCTGTGTGTCCCATTGTTTAATTATGGAATCTTAACGCCGTATTACGCGCCCATTCGCAGTGCTCGTGGCCAAAATCAATGGGTCCGCTCTGAACGCCAGCAATTATCAGTACCAAGTGGTCGAGCGGAGAACACCAGCCGATCCCCAGGTGGAATATACATTCCTCAAACAGTCGAATATGGTGAAGGCATGGGGCACAAATCTCACTGCCATTACCTGGGCCCATGCCGTCAACAGTCAGCAATTGCTGGACGAGGTCCTAAGCAAACCCGGTAAGATCAAGGGAGCCAAGTAACTTATCACACACGACTTATCAACGGTATCATACCCCCGCAAAGGTGACATTGACTTCATCGAGGCGGACATTGTTCTGGGCAAACTGAATGGCGAAGGCGAGGACATGCCCGTAATGGCCCATCCGCCAGCAACCATCTCTGATATCACGCTGGCGCAATTTCTATACCAGATCATGGAATTCAACCGCGCTCATGAGGGCCAGGAAAAGGGCGTGAAGCTCGACTTCAAGTCGATCGAGGTATTCGAGGGTTCCCTGGACATTCTGGACGAGAATATACCGAACGTAAGTGTGGACACAGCGGATATGAGCGTAAACTAACAATACCTGTGTGTTGGCAGATGACCTCCAATCCAGTTTGGATAAACGCCGATATTCTAAGTGGTCCCGTGGATCAGAACAGGACAGTGCCCGTGGATGCGGACCGATTCTTCGCCGGCTGCATGCGCTACAAACAGGCAGTGCTCTCCATCGGCTGGACAACTAACTGGGGAGCCGACTTTCGGGATGGCGAATACACGCAGGACCAGTGTGATGCCATGCTGGAATCTCTGACCGCCAACAATGTCCTCTCCACCGGCCAGGGCATCACCTTCCCCGTGCGCGCTGGCATCGCCGCCAACAGCGAGGACCAACTGCATCGACTGGTGGCTGCGGTAAACGAGACGAACAATAGCACCCTGACCGTCTGGTCCTCTGCCGGGGACTATGTGGATGTGGAAAAGTTGCGCAAGCTGATCTGGAGCTTTGGCCTGGACAGAGTCTACCTGGACGTGCCGGAGGAGCTGGCTGCACAATTGGAGCTGGGAAATCCCGGCAACGGAGCCAGCACCTTCAAGTCCCTGTTTAGCTTCAGTTTCGTTGCTCTTTGCTTTTGGGCTCTGTCTAGCTGGCTGCAGAGAAATATATAGGTACGATCCGAGCAATTTGGATACAATTTCCAAACGACTGAATAAAAAGTTTTACTTTACTATTTTGACAGTTTTATTTTAGGTTAGGTGGAATATTTGGAAATCGCATTGGGTGACGCGTTCTATATAAAAAAGATCTTTTTTAAAACACTTAAACATTCAAGTATCGTGAAGACTTAAAGAAACTTATTATGGGAAAATGTTTTCAAGGCAACAGTAATATTTTTTAAATGTATTGAATCGGCAAACGAATCGTTTCATAATAACAAATATTTATATACCCTACTGGATTTGTTTTTTACTTTACTTTTCTCAAATTCAATTTATATCATGATATGTTTGGACATTTTTCCAGCGTCTCCATACGTAATTTTAGTAACTGCTGTCATTCTCAGTCCCTCTTTGATCACTTGATTTTAAACATTTTTTCTATTCATTTATCTTAAGGAATTTTTGGAAATATTTCCGGGTTCACAGCTGTGCTTTACAAACTAGGTATTTAGATCTTAAACTGATTGACATATGTACATAGGATATGCGTAATCTTTGCAGTGCTAGCGTTATTTGTACAATACTTAAAACAACTTTTAATTTGTAATGTGTAGGCCTACCTAAATGAGCAACAATTCTAGCTAGCTGTGTTCTGTTCAGTATGATTTCTTAATAACTTCAGATCAATATGGATTAAAACCTTCAATGTCGCTCTACAAAAGATATGCATTATTATATAAATATAAATACTTTGGGCATGCGCAGTTTTAACTTCAAGAATTAAGGAAAATGAGTAATGGGGCGCTACACGAGTCGCTCTATATACAGTTTACTTTATCCTACTAAAATAGTTAATGACTTTTTGCTTGCGTTTCTGCTGTTATTTGGCACTAAAATAAATAATCTTATAAATCTCTCTCGCTGTCTGCAAAGCGTGCAGATGTGTTGAGGGAACTCCTAATGCGACCGGGCGTGTGTGGTAATGTGGTGTGTGACGTGAACTGGAACGATATCCTCAACAACATCCTCAACTGCCTCTGCAGTTCAGCCTCCTTGAGCCTGGCTAAGGCAGAATGGTTTCATCACGTTATGCTATTCTAGGCTACGGCAACGTAAATGAGTCTTAGGCAGATGATCGTTGGAGGCACCGTCAGAATGGCTTGATGCCAACGCATGTATTATCTAACTATAACATCGGGCGAGTGCTGGCTGATCAGACGTTCCCTGTGCGAGCTCTCCGTAATACCACTTTCCTCTCTTACGCCGGAATCGCGATTATAGTCCAGCAGGCGTACTCCAACGCGCTCATTGCCCGATGAACTAATGTTGTTCCGGAATAGTTGCGCCACCGGAGCTGTGGCTGCCGATGAATTTACACCAAAGACATTGAGGGGACGCAGGACGTTGGCCTTGGTCTTCGGATCGCTGTGACAGAAGTGCGTCACTTGTCGCGTCGGGTACCAGCAAGTGCATATAAGACCGCCGGCCAAAAGGATGCCGGTTACGATCTGTCCCAGCAGGACAATAAGCGGAACAAGCGCGATGTCTGCGGCGATTTCCTCCGAAACTCGTACTCGCTCCTCGCACCACATCATGGGAATCATAACCCTTGGGACATTCTCATACACGCTGAAAGAAAATAAAAATATCAGTTTATGTAAGGGCAAATGTAAAGGTTAAGTTACTTACGCAATGCCCGAAATGGGTTCCATGTAGTAGTTGGCCTGAAAGCCACCACCCACGTCCATTGGCACGCCAGCATTGGGCTCCAGGGTCATGAAGAACTCGTGCTTCTCGCGTTCTGGTCGCATACCCTCGATGGCGTCCAGATAGCTTGGATCCGCCATGTAGAAGTGCGGAAAAGACATGTAGACGGATGCGTTGAAGGCGCAGGGTCCGATATTGATCACCCCGGCGGGCATACACTTTCCATTGACGCAATAGCAACTGGTGTCCGGATACAGAGTGCCATTGTCCACGGCGTGCTTAGTGCCACTGAACTTGTAGGCGGTCACGCCATGCACGCTGACAGTTTCCACGTAGTCTAGAGGTATAGCACGGCACATCTTGGGCATGTACATGAAGACAGTGTCGTGGGTGCTGAGATTGGGCGGAAAGAATTCGCCCATTGAGCCGTGCACCTGCCCGCAGGTGCCTTCAAAGGCTCCAGTGTGCGTCAAGTTATTCCACGTATGAATCTGACCCATTTTGGCAATATCATCGGCTCCTGTGAACATGTTAATGTCACCATCGAAGGCGGAACTGCCATTTCGGGAGTAATGGAAGCCTACACGTTTGAAGGGAACATCCTGAGGACTCAGCAGTTTGCCGACGTTTATGAATGGATGCTCATAGCCCCTAAAGAGCATTTCATCAACGGTTCTCGTGATGGTCACTTCCTGGCCATAAATTTTATTGGCAATGTTAATGCTACCTCTAGCAAGCCAGTTGTCAGCCGCACGTCTAGCAGCACTCTGTTTTAAAATAAATAAAGTGTAAATGTTATTTTAATAGATGTTATAATGGGATTGAGAGATCTATCAATATTTCTGTTTCAATTTCATTTTTGGGAACTTACGTGCGCTACGGTGTTGACTGTGGTGACTTTATCCAATAAACTTCCGTTGCTGCCGGCAGCATCGAAGTAGAACCAGGACTTTTTGCGGAATGATACGGAGGCGTTATGATTGTGCCATTTGATGTCCACCTTGTCGGGTTTCTCCCGAAACCGATAGGGTCCCAATTGCTCGAAGCGTGGCTTCTTACCAGATCCCACATAGAAGTCATCCGGATTCGTCCAGTTGAATAGGTAGATATCGAAGTTTAAAGGCAGCGGGGAGACCTTCCAGCCCTCGAATGATCGTGATTTGGGGCTCAGGGCCATTTCCTATAATAGTGAAATTGTTTCAATTGAAAAATATGCGATCAATATTCAGTGATAATCGGTTTACATAATAAGCTAACTCTTCCGCTAACTGGATGACTGGCTGCTAAATTGGCACAACAATTAAACATCGAATTCGTTGATGAAAAATTGCGCATTGAATACGTGAACAATGTGCATATGGGAGAACCGATCAAAGTTCACGAATGATCTGTGCAATTGGTACCCATTGGAGGAGGTTCCATAATTGACTCGCAGTACATGTGTATTTTTGTGCATATTGTAAGTGTCTTTGTGCATGGGTCTAGTTTGCATAAAACCTTTAGTAATAGTAACGCTTCAAGTGCACTTTCTCGCTAAATTATAGGGCTCTATCTCGGCGAAATTGCAGGTGCTATGGTGCGATTACATGGGTTTGGTGGATTGCTGTTATCAGCCATCAATCATTGTAAGCCAGAACGACAGACCCAACGATAGTCTAGATCGCAGACCACTGGCCACCATTTTGTTTGGCACAGGGCCTTATAATCTTTATAGTTGGAACTGCGACTGGCTACAGGAAATTATTAATCTGATAAAAAAGAAAACAAGATCGAATTAGGCTCTAGGCAGTTTCGCCAATGTTCGCCGTGAGCCCTGTAAAATCCTAATGGATTACACATGTCGGCCTGGTTTCGTATCGAGGTGGAGTACAGGTGCTCGGCCAGGGTCATCGGACATGGAGAAGTGCGGTTACATGCCGGTCTGGATGGTTATGGCCGTTTATGGTCGTTTTTGCCATATATTCATATAAGTATGGAACTGAAGAGCGTTGTCTAATCGAACACGGCTATCGCAAAATGGGTTATTTTTCAGGTTTTGTCCAAGATAAGATAACACAACTTTCGGATGGTATTTCCGCTAACCGATAGACCAAAAACATAAAGGGAAAAAGCTTGAATGTTGGATTATTGACCTCACATTCAAACCCGTGATTCACAGTGACAGGTGTGCCCTTTTCTTTTTGATAATGCCAATTAATCACTTACTATTATTAGTAACCACGCAAATAAGAATGAGGATCGAAAATTGCATGATTCACATAACACCTGGCTAACCAAAACATTATCAATTTGATTGATAATTATTTGGAAATCGAAAAAAATAAATTTCCGTTAATATATATATTTTGTCATGATTTTATCATTTTAAAAATTGTCAGCAAGATTAAATGCTCATTTCAACAAGGTTCCTAGCTATTGGTTCAGTGCTATTTAACGATCATAACGCTTAAGGAGAACGCTTTTCAACGAGAGTTTAACTGTCGTGACTAAGCGCTCTACACACAGAAAATGAACCCAACAATAGCATTAACTCGCTAGTTAAAAGCACATTCAAAAGTTTGGGATCCTAAAGGTGTTTTAGCCACCCTAACGACAGATTTACAAAATGTTCTCCATAAGGGATCATTCGCAGGTTGTTAGTCCTTATCTTATCTGTTGGCTTGTGGTGATTTTGAATTATTCGAACACCTGCACACAGTGAATTGTCAGTGTCTTTTCGTTCGTTTGCTTTAATTCAATGGAAGAATTGGTTCCTCCCGATCCAAATGGTATGCAAATGAGTCTCCCAGTTGACCTTTGCACACACTGCCAATTTGCCGGCTTGTGAAACTTAACCCCAAGGTCTGCGAATCGATGGCAATCGAAGCCGATAAGATAGGATCGAACCGATCGCAATAAATACCGGAGTACTAATGTACTAACCTGGCCGCGCATGCGTGTAAACATATCGATCCAGTTGCGGAAGAGGTAAAAACCGCTGGCGATGCAGCAGATACCAAGGAGAACGAAGCCCAGTGGCACACAGTGCCGCGCCCATGATGACATCTTGGTGGAGCTGCGTCTGCGGCTGCGTCTTGGTGTCGCTGCTGTAAATCGATGTTCTTTATATGGAAGGCGTCTTCCTCGACCGACCTCTTGCGGCGCACTGAGTGTGGAACCCTCGCATCGACTGCGTTCCCGTTACTGGCGTCTGCGGAGAGAGCAGAGAGTAGGTGAGTGAGAGTGACTGTGAGTGTGAGTGCGAGTGTGAGAAATGCGGGCTTATCGACAACTGTATGTTACAATCTTATCGCTCACACACGCACACTTTTGGGGCCCAGGAGGCTAGCCACCCGATTTCGATTGCCTGAGGATCGGGAAATAGGCAGAGAATTGTATAGAGAGTAAGAGAGAGGCGAGAGTGGCGACGCATAAGTGGCGATCACAAATTTTAACTGCGGCGTAATTATACACATTTTAATACCCAATCCCTAATTGTAATACAGTTTTTACTTGGCACTGGGCAAACCGCAAACTTGATATGGACATACATACATACGTAGCAATGTATGTGCATATGTACTAAAATGAATACCTACAAGTACACAAGCATTTGTACATATGTAAGTAACTGCAATCTACTGTGTAACATTTACCATATGAATTAACCATTTTTGTGAAGCGAATTCTTATACTATGCTTCTTATATTTTATATATTGTTATGTACACAATTTTCTTAACGACAAGTTCACTAGAGCAAAATTACATCCACTTTACAGATGTAAGACTGTAGTTCATTTGTAAATTAACGAAGTAATTGCTTAAATGTGCATATATGTATTAATTGTGTTTTTTCGGGGGTTGTTTTAAGTAAACCGGTCCGAAGGGGGCTGGCTTAAATAAATATAAAATTCTTCTCAATGCAGGAATTACGTCAGGTGCTAGCAGACCATGAAGTTTGAGTTATCACTCCACGGAATCTACATTTATTCAGACAGTACTTTTTTTGTACCTTATATAGAACACTGATTATCAACGCTTAGTCACTAATATACCTTGTTTGGGACCGTTTCAACCGTTGGTATAAAACCGTTGAAATGTTAAGTCTAGCATGACCCTGTTAGGAAAACGGTGTTGTTGGTATACTTAGGTCAGTACTAAAACATCAATTTCCTTAGTGATTTTAACTACAAAATGAAAACTACACACACCTAATCCTTCGTAACTGATGAAACTTTGCTGGGAAAATTTGTTTTATATTTCTGACACTACCGTTAACAGAAAAAAACACATACGAGTATGTATGTATGTGAATACTGTACTACTCCCATTGAATTGAGTTTTTTTTTGGTATGCTGACTCCCAACTTTAATAGCAATGAGTATTATTTTCCTTTTGCTGACTCCGAACTTGAACAGTTTTAAGAATGGTTAAAGATTGGAATACCGTGATTCACTGTGGCGGCACATCCACGAGTATTATTTGTTTTGATTCGCGAGTGTGGGACTGGATCGAAAACACGTTTCATACTCCGTATTCCATACCCTGACACAACCATAAAATCGCAGTGCGCAAGGGCGGGAAGTGGGGGCGTTATAGTCAACATTGTTTACACTTCTTGGTGCTGGCTAGCAACCGCTGGCTGAGGTGCTTTTTGGCCTTAGTTACGGCCATTACTGGTGATAATTCAACGATTTTTAAATATATGTGTAGGTACATGCACATGTGTAGGTACATTTATTTATTGTGGCACACACGTACTGCGTCCGATGACTTATTTCTTTTCACTACTGCACACGTACCGAGGTTAAGAGTAAAACCCGTTTTTGTTGTGGGCTTTTATTTGCTTCTTTATCTACAACAAAGTCACCCCACATGCCACGCCACGCCCACCCCGCCCATGCCCGCTCTTGCGCTCTGATTATTTTGTGCTTTACTACACCAGATTATGAATCACACATACTGCCTAATCATTTGTTCATACATCAATCACGCGAATTTCGCACAATTGCGATTTTCCACACTAACGAACATAAAATATTAACACTGGGTTTATCCTTGAACCTTGAGCGTCACTTCCGCAACCTGTTGACAATGTTTTCTATGTGTTTGCTCATCATGCTTGCCTTATTTGCTCTTTTAGCCTAAAAATAACCAGCAACACAGTGCAATGTGCCAACAAAAATATACATATGTATATATACATTGTATGTATGAACATAATTCGTTGCGCGGCTACACTTTGTATACGATTTTATTCACTCGTTTCGCAAATTCATCGCAATGCGTCACATTTTGGCTGGCTAACTTCCTATCTAGATGGAGTTAAGAACTATTATGTGTCTATTTGAGTTTGCTTAAAAAAAAAAATTATCTACGGAGGAAACAGAAAAGGTTGAACTCTCTCGCGCGCTCGCTCTCTCTCTTTCTCCACTGACATTCCTTGTTTATCATATTTTTCTTACTTTTTCTGGTTGACGTTGTTTACTAATTCATTTGCTATTTTAACACTTTTTTCACATGCACTTCGCGGCACGTGTCTAATTTTTATTCAAATACTTTTAAATTGAAACCAATTTCAATTGCAGCGACGCGACAGTGTAAATAATGTTTATATAAAAATCTATGATCGTTTCTCCGCTGCTTTTATGTTGTTGTTGTTTCCCCAGCACGCGGCTATTTCTTGCCATTAGCCGTCTCGCTTCCACTCGCACGGTTTCAGAAAACCACGGCGCACCGTTAATTGCTGTTCTCAAACTAACGCGCACGAGCGAAACCGAACGTGTCTGATCGGCGCTGCGCCTGCGACTAAACTAAACAAGTATTTTCCAAAGAGACGCCAGCAGCAACAATTATCTATTCTTCGTTAAGGCGAAAAGTGGTCGGCTACGGTGGCATGAAATACCCTTTTCCTCAGTGTTGCCAGACGGTGATCAGTGTTACCAGTCCAGACTCGAAACATCAGACTCTTGTGACATCGGCGAACTATAAATATAAAATTATATAAACATAAAACTAATTTCTATTTTTGTGCTGCCACATACATATGTACATATATAGTTTTTATTGCAGAACATGTACAACTTTAAACAATATTTTATGTTGGTAGGATGACTTTGTATATAAAGAATAGCGTAAGTGTTTCTTGTATTCATAATTACGTTAGGCCTTGAATTGTTGGTATTAAGGTTAAAATTGAATACATTGTGCATGCTAGTCTCAACCAATGGACTTTACCAATTGTACGGGATAATTCTTCACATATACATATATACACATATTCACATATACATATGCATATACAGCTATCTCTTCGCTCTCTTTAAATCTCTTATTCATCGGCACGCAAAACCGGTTCTTTTTTGTTTTCGTGGTGTAAGCATTTTCTTGAAACGGTTCTGAATCGGTTAAGTATTCACAAGTGCATCGATTGTTTTCAGTTCAGTGTAATTATTGTGTGATTTGTGCGTGCTATAATTTTCACACATGCACATGTATGTACATATGTATGCATGTGCTAATTAATCAGTAATCAGTGCGAAGTTATGTTTTACTTGGGAACACTTATTTAACTCGATGATTCAGTGTGATAAGAAAAGTCAACGAACAATCCCATACAGCAAGAAAAAACAAACCGTTCATCCGTATGCAAATACAAATGAGCGGCGCTGCAATCTTCAGTCTTTGCACACCATTTACCATTTATTGGCTTAATCTGTAGACTAGGCAAGAAAACTCTTGCAAACCTAAACATATGACACTTAGTTAGCCTAAATTCTCAGTTTGAATTTCCCGCCCCATCTTTGGCCCCTGTGTATGGCAATCCTTTTAGCAGCGGCGAGTCCTCCACATCATTCTTCTTCACGGGCTCCAACGACCTATTCGTCTCGATGGAACTAATCTCGATCTTGTGCATCAGGCCCTTCTGCCAGATCATTTGGTGCGGATACCAGAATAGCATCAGCACACCCAAGGCCACGCCTAGGATGCCAAAGATCTTGCCCACCAACTCTAGGATCGGCATCAGCTTCACGTAGCCCAGAAGATCATCCGTGATGCGGACATTGTAATCCGCCCAGATCAACGGAAAGAATGTTCTTCTCGCCGTGCGGTAGATTCTGCAAATGCAAGTTTTTTCTTTTACTAATACTTTTCCTATTGTGGAGTGTACTATGCTGAAACAGATATCCATAGGCTGTGGCCACATACTTACAAATGAGTTTTGGGCTCGACCAGCAAGTTGGCCATAATGCGCGCCTTGATCTCCAGCACCATTCCGGTCTTGGGCTCCAACATGATGACCATCTCGTGGCGATCCTTGTCGGGCTTCATGCCCTCCACCTGCTCTCCGTAGTAGGGATCGGCATTATAGAAGTGCGGATAGGACGCAAAGACAGGCGTTCCATACCAACAGGAGGAAATGTTGAGCAGACCGGATCTCAACTCCTGGCAGTTCTCCTCGCAATAGCATCTGTTATCCGGGTTATCAGTGCCTGGAACGGAACGGGCGATTGGGTAAGTGGATGTACTTACAGTTTTGATTTAGGTATCGTAATTACTCCTTATATTCTAGCATCGATTCCTTACCATTTGCCATGTTGCGCGCACTGCCTCTGTACACGAAAGCTTCAATGCCCTCGAAGATGGTGGTGCCGGAGTAATCCACCTGCAGCTCGCGGCACAGATCCGGCAGGAAGTAGGATATCGGTTTGCCCTTCACCAGTGGTATGGGGTGGAACTCCCCGGCACTGCCCTTCAGCTTGCACCTGGGACTGGCTTCTGTGACGTTGTTGTAGCGCCACCTGGCTATTTGACCCAGTTTATGGAACTCATCTCGACCCGTGTAGACATTGTGGTGCCCGTAGATTTCCATGCTGCCATTGCGCTGGAAATAATAGGTAAATATTTTTTTAGATGGGGTTAATACCCCATAATTCAAAATAATGATAATTCAAAACCATGTCCCCTCTTGACTCACTGGATACGCATAGCCGATCTTCTCGTAGGGGAACTTCATCTCCGGAACCAGACTAGGTGGCACCATTTTGCTCATCTTGATCATCGGCGTGTCGAAGCCCTCGAACATCCAATCGCTGGCCGGCCGGATCATGGCCTGCTCCTTGCCGTAGATGTTTAGGGCCAGCAACATGAGGGAACGCAGCATGGGACTCCACATGACCATCTTCTGGTACAGGCCCACGACGAGCAGGTTGGGTGCCACAATGGGATCTGAAGGGCGTCCGGCACTGAGTTTCGGATCGAAATCGAAGCGACTGCGGCGCCTGTAGGACACCGTGGAGTTCTCATCGTGCCACTCCACATTGACCTTCTGCATCCGCTCAGTGAAGCGGTAGGGTCCAAGCTCCTCGAACCGGGGCTTCACGGTGGGATCGCTGAAGCTCTCCGAGTTTGTCCAGTTGAATAAGTACAGATCCACGTTTATATCCAAGGCGGGTGACTGCCACAGGTTGCTGATCAGTGTTCCTGGCCGCAGAACCATAAACCACTCGAGCATCCAGCGTTCGATCTGTTCCATATAAACCAACGAGCATAGACTGAAACTGGCCAAAAGCAGACCCACCACACTTGTCTGCCAAACGCGCTGTTTTCCGATCATGGTAGTGTATCTTTTAGGTATTATGTCTCGGTGCACCTGAAATGGAAAAAGTTTTACAGCTTATATTACATACTAATTGACCATGCTCAACTCGTTTAATTTACTAAAATTGCTGGCTAGAATGGTAAATCTATGGTTAGACTGATTAACATAACTGATTACTTGGTTGGCTTTCCTCTTTTAGTAGTGGGATAATAATATGTTTAAAGTTTTACGACGCACTCGTATTTAAACAACTCCAAATGTCGAGGCAGCTTAGTTTCCTGATAAGTACTTGTAATGAATGGGTTCGGTAGCAATATCTAGAAAATATAACAAAAAACATGGTATTATCCCCACTGAATGAATACAATTTTACTTGCTACTAGTGAATGATTTCTACATTATAGTGCATTTACTCAGACGTAAGTTATTCACCCGCGAGTGTGCGGTTATTCAATCCTTTTATTAGAAATTTTAATAATTTTAGAATGAGTATTATGTGTTAATGCTTTCTTTATGAATCATAGGACAAACTTAAATGGGTTTTTAATACGGGTTTAATTAGTTCAGTAGCCTACGTTACTTAAGCGCAGCATTTTCACGCTCTAGACTTTATTAACAAACTCCTTTAATGTTTATTTTTTTTATTTTTTCCAAATTTTTAAAAACTCACTTGAGAATGGGTTATTTACTCGACGGTACGTCTGCCCTGCTAAATCCAAATGTAAAGACTGTCTGATTCCTCCCACTTCTTTATGAAGTCTGATCCGATCTGATCTGATCTGATCCGAGTCCAGCAGGCTGGAGGTTATCTGCCACCTCTGATAATGCAACTCAAGTTGCAAACATTCCGGTTGGATGGGAGTCTAACTAAAGTGTGGCTCTGTTTATTATATTCAATACTCCTCGCGACCTGACTAGTTGAGTGGACGGAATGGATTGAATGCTCGAGTATCTGTAATTCTTAGTGATTCTTAGTCTTGGGGGTGCGATCCAACCACTTCGAATGCCTACTTGATAACGACTGAACTGGCGGTAGGAAAATGTTTTCAATCCGACAAGACGGCTATATAGAACGTCATGAAAAATATACATAAATGTCAGAATAAAATGATACAGAATGATACTTTGTAAAAATGTTAATTATAATGCTGAAAAAAAGTGATTACTGTTTAAACCTTTCAAGAATCAAAGTGTTTTCCATATACTTGGATATGATATTGGTTAATTTTCATCCGATTTATGTTGTTTATTTAATTATACAGTTGCTTCATTGTAACATTCTGTACATTGTAATGTTCTATATTCTCCAAGTATTTTTTTCAGTATTCCTCGAGTTTATAGAGCTTAAATCGAGCAAAGCTTAAGTGTAGTTCATCGGTTCATCGGCTTCTTGATCTGGGGTTACCATTTAACGACACCGGGCAACTATGAGTCGTGTGGTTTTCTGAACCGAAAGCACTCGCATTACAAGTATTATTAAGCAAACTCCAGCCTGCGATTCATGTTCTTCAGTAGCGCTCTACGATTTCGGGCTCATACCTTATTGGGTGGGTGATAAGCCAAGATAATGTCCGGACCCCAATTCCTAATCGCCTGCTCTCAATTGCCGATGGCTCTTTGCGATAAGAAAAGGGCGACTGGGCGACCTTCTAGCAGTGCAACTAACCTTTGATTTGACATGGAAAGGGTGATCCCGTTCGACTTCACCGATCGATGCCTCTAATCAGCTTGATATGCCTATAACATAATATTATAGGCAACGCGTTGAAGAGCTATGGAACATGCTAAACTCCAGCTAGGCGAGTATACGTTGGTGCCCTATGAAAGGACTAGTATAGTACAATAGGTTTAGGCATTAAAACAACGAGTTTTCAAGGATCATTAGGAAATTGGATATTACTACCTTATTCTAGAGTTTTGAAAAATTGATTTTTGTAAGCCACGGCTGGCGTAATATTTGGCAGCAACGGTTTATAACTCGAATTGAAGATCTATTAACGAACGAGTTTATTTAAAACTTTTTTGGAGTTTCTTTTTAAAATGATTCCCAGTTTGTATAAAAACCGTTTTATTTTGAAAGCCAGCGCTGCCAGATCGCGTGGGCTTGCACCCTGCTCCGCGAAAGGCCTAGCAAAGTACTGCTCCGTGGTGTGCGTCTCCGCTGAGCATATGGTCAGGCCATAACTAGTACATTTCCAGTGCCTCGCAACATATGGCAAATAAAATAAATAAGGAAACTAAACGCAACGCGGGCTATAAAAGGAAAACGCAGCCTCAGTTTGCAATTCAGACGCGCACAACCCAGCAAGTGGCACTAACTCCCAACCGAAAGCGGAAGAGAGACTCTCAGTAAACAAATAACTGCGAATAAGAAGCGAGCACCCGAAAATCAGCCGGCATCTTGCATAACTGATATACACAGAAATCCAAACAAAATGCAATCCGTGACCAGACAAACGGCGCGAGTCCTGCCCCAAGTGGGCAAGCAAGGTGTGTGTGTGTGTACTACTGTGCTTCAGCGCCGATCCTAACGAACCCATTCTACATTGACAGTGAGCTACCTATCGACGAGCGGCGCTTGGAGGGCCTCAGCCGGCGGCAGCGACATGGTGGTCGAGATCAAGGAGCCGAAGACCCGCACCGAGAAGCTAATGGCCTTCCAGAAGAAGCTGCGCGCCAAGACGCCGCTGGGCAAGCTGGACGAGTTCTCGCGCCATCCCTACCAGGAGAAGGAGCCCCTCAAGCCCTGGCCCAACCAGACCAATCCCTATACGGGCGAGATCGGCGGACCCGCCGGCCCGGAGCCCACGCGGTACGGCGACTGGGAGCGCAAGGGCCGCGTCTCCGACTTCTAGTCCCCACAAGAGTTCCTTGACTAGTACTTAGACTGTTATTTAAATGCTACCTACTAAGACTTAAGACCACATCAAAATGTATACTTGTTTAGTGTAAAGAGAAAATACATGATATTGCTAACGCTCACAAGTTTATTGCGCTGCACTTATTTGGCAGTTCCTTTGGGAAACGCATAAGATGGTAAGATAAACGTCATCTGGTTTGAAGATTTCGGAAAGCACCAACATTTTGATTTATATTTATACTTAATGGAATCATTGGTATCATGCATAAACATATCAAGTGGAGCCAAATGGACGGTTAGTGCTGCTCCTGCACAAACTCGGCAATCAGGTTCTCACTAAGCCTCCACAGTTGCTGCTGCAGTGCAGCACTTTTGGACAATTTGCTGGGCTCGCAGAAGAAGCAGTTGTTGAAGTACAGTCCAGACAACCCGGTCAGCTCGTTGGCCGTGGCGCAGTAGACACTCGTGGCAGCTGCTTGTTGCTGCCATATGGGGCACAGAATTGGTGAAAGCAATTAGTGAAAGTTTTCGGACACAGAACCCTTTTTCCAACTCACCAGCGACTTGGTAAAGGGACGCACAATGGCAAAGAGCAGCCGGTAAAACCAATAGTTCCGTGACAGATCACTGGACACCATATTGCCCGGATGCAGGCTGAACACAGAAATGCCTCGCTGCTTCCATCGCTGGAAGAGAGGGTGGAGCAACCAAACGCTTTTAATTGACCCGCTTTGAGCCACATCTGGCCATGACGGCATGACTCACCTGGGCGAGCTCCTGGGCGAACAAGACGTTGCACAGCTTGGCATTGTTGTAGGCCATCATGCTCCAGAACTTCTCCGGCGGCGGGGACAGATGGTGCACTGCCAGATTCTCCACGGGCAGATTGGCGAATCTGCAAGCAAGTTGGCAAGTTAGTAAGCTTGTTTGCGACGCATTTCTTTGTCAGTGGAGACCGACCCACATGAACATTCCCCATCCGATTGAACCCACTGGACTTTGCCCCCGCCGGCCGACAATCGCAAAACGAGTCTTGATTGCCATTGCCGGCAAGCGGGCATAGCTGGCATAGCCGGCTTTAAACGCTCTTTATCAATGGGATGCAGTGCAGCGCACACAAAGGCTCCCACGAACAAAGGCGTGAGTCGACAAGTGGCGCCGGCGAAACAAAGCCCCACAACGCACAAGGACCCTCCGATATGCACAGTGAACTCTCCAGCCAACTGCCCCACAATGGCCCACCAAGTCTGTGCGGGAAGCCCCTGAATCTCCAGCAGTAGCGCATGCGCAAGTCGCACACTTCCCGCCGAGAGCCGCAACATGACAACATTTCTGCCCACAAATACACATATGTATGTACCTCCGCGCACATTTTGGACTTTGGATTTGTTTTCATTTCATCGCATCCCTGTGCCCAGCTTGGTTCGATGTAAATATAACGTCGCAAAATGTATGCAAATTCAGTGTTATTTATAAGTATGGGTCGTACTCGGCATCCATGCCAAGTGGATGCAAACCAGTTGCGTTCCATTTTGTATCTTTCTTGGCTAGGTGGTCGCGGGCAAAAAAGGCTTATTTTCGTCAGCTTGCTGTGTTTCGAGTTAATTAATTAGGTTCTACAGACAGATTAATTTAGGTTTAAAACAATAACTCGCTGAAAGTAATAGCTGCGCGATAGAATTAATAAATGGTTAATGGCTGAGGCGTTTCCCACACAATTAGACACATAATTGTTGTAAAAAGAGAAACCATTCAAATATTCCCTTGTTTCTGCCTTAAATAATGGCATTTTATCCGTGCGACAATGAATAACAACAATTTTGCAGGCTGATGTAATAATAACATGCTGAAAGTAGTCGTTTGCTTGAAAGTGATCAGCAGTCGAACTGCCTGCCGCCATTCAGCTCTGCCTCCCGCCGGGCGAACGTGCAACACAAGTCTCGTGCGCCACTTGGAGTACTCGCAGATAGTCATGTATGCTCCGGCCAGCCGAAGATGTGGTACGTGCGCACAGCAACGAACGCTGCAGATACAAAGCCACCACCTCCAATGGCAACCAGTATGTACAGCCAGTTCAGTCGATTTGGTGCCGTGCTGTGCTTCTTCACCAGACTCGTTCACCAAATGATTAATTTGGGGTTTGATGGCCTGCACAGTGGGCCATGCGAGATGCCAAGCGAATCAATCTAATTAAGCGAGTTGGCGCAGATGGGGAACTTGTGGGTACCTGTCCATAGAACCTATTAATGGGAGTTTATGGGTACCTGCTAAAAGCACCACAGTGTAAGCTCACTTTTGTGCCTTAATTAAATTGAATTTGATTCTTTGCTCGCACGTTATTTTCTTGAGTTGCGCTTACATGCTGTATAAATATATCTCTTATCTGCGAAAACGAGATTACAACCACTGTGCTTACAGCTGCACGTGATTGCTTTTGGTACGCACTGGTTATGGTTTTGATAGCACAAACCCAGCTGCGCCAGCGTCGTAATTGTTTTAGGTGGCTCTTTGTGTGCCTCGGAGTGCGCAGCCCACAATGTAAACGAAGCCTATGGCTGGGGAAAGAATAATATGTATATTCCAAGCTGAGTTCAATTACGCTTCGCCTTGAAATCGGATCAAACTGAAAACATCTTACGCAAACAGATCTGAGGCGCACAGGCAAACATTTTGGAAAACGCTGCACTAGACGGCCTGACTGAGGCGAAGTGCGTTTATTTCTGCTCTGGGCTATGAATAGTTTGGCCCCAAAGCGGTGCAAAGTCCACTTATGTGGAATCATAAAAGTGCAATCAACTTGCGAAAATGAAAGAGACGTCTTGAAATGCCAGACGCACATTTCAACCCGATGGCGCTTAGCTCGTTTTCTAAATAGTATGATAAAGTTCTTAAGATATTTGAAACACCCATATACATATCTAGTAATTTGCGCACAGTCAGCAGTTGATTAAAGATAAAGTAAATGTAATGGGATTTAATGAAATATTTTTAGCATGTGACTTGTACCGAATTCAGTTTCAATTAAAATCACCGTGTGATTTTGACAATAATCAATTTTTACATAGACAAGTTGCAATAATGACAAATGCTTGCTGGCGAAAAACAAAATGATTATTAAAATGAGATTTACAGCGCTGGCATACAGAAAGTTAGTTATGAAAGGTAATTTTTATGCATTAGGAAGAGAACAAAATTTGAATCAATAATTTAAATACTAATATATTACAGATATTTCCGTTTATGAATAAATATGTATTTTATTTGAAGTAAATTACTTTTAAATTCCCTTCTTGAAAAACATTACCAAATATAACCCAACGAGATATTAAACTTAGGTTGAGAGTCCAGGAAAGACCGTAGGTTTTTACACTATAAGAATCATATATGAAAAATTCTACAACTGCCACTTCCATTTCGCCCAGTCCAATTACGTGCTAAGCTGCTCAAATTTCCACTTACCTGTGCGACTCGGATGACAGCAGAATGATCCGTGTTTTGTAATCAAACAAGGTTTCCAGTTGCAATGTGAGGTAGAAATGCGACAGGTGCGAGACCTGGAATGTGGTTTCCAGACCATCCTCGGTCTTGGTGTAGGGCAGTGCAAATACTCCGGCGTTCAGGATGAGATAATCAATGTGGCTGCAACATTCACATAATCCTCAGTTAAGCCATATGGGCATTTCAAGGGCGTGCTACTGACCTAACGCTCTGCTTGATTTCCCCGGCAAATCGCTGAACTGAACGCAAAGAGCTAAGGTCGAGAGGGGCGAATCTACAGCGGGCGCGGGCTGCAGGCCGTTCCTGGGCAATGCTTTCGATGGCAGCCTCTGTGGAGGATCTGTTCCGGCAGGCGAAGATGATCTCACAGCCGTGATGGGCCAGCGAACGAGCGGTCTCGAAGCCAATGCCACAATTTGCGCCCGTAATCAGGGCGGTGCGTCCGTGCAAGTCCTTACCGTGCAGTACCTGCAGGGCCGTGGAGCAGGAGTCAAATCGCTGGCGCACCTGGGCCACATTCTGCGTGGGCTCCTCCACGGCGAAAGCCAATCGGGGATCCACATTCGTCCGTTGCTGCGTCTCCTTGTTAAGGAACATGAAACGCTTTCCCTGCTCATCGTAGTACTTCTCCCAGCCCAAGGGTAACTCGCCCGTAATCCGCTTGGAGCGACCCGTACGCGGATGTGTCCACTGTGACGTCTTTCCCTGCTGGCTAATGATGCGATTAAAAGTTAATAACCATTTTTACGACCCCACTTAACTTTTGACTTACTTCACATAGCAAACGGTGCCGTCATCGGTGGCCCGCTCCTCCCAGCCGGGTGGCAGCTCATCCTCGCTATCTGTGTCGGGTAGGGATATCATTGCGGATCAATTGAAACTTATTGAAAGCTTCGTTGGTAAGGAACACTTTTTGTTGCGAAAAATAACGCAAAATAAATTCCGGGTATCGATAACATGCGGCTTAACCGATAACGGCCGACTGAAGTAACAGCTGTTCCGTTAAGCGATGCATGTTACCCGCTAAAAGAACAGCGTCTTACCTAACAGAGCAGTTAACCGCAACCGGTTGGCTGGCGGTTGTTTATTTAAATTTAAATGTGGTGTACCGGCAGTTACCACAAATCCAATTAATATATAGAAACTAGTAGTGGCAGTGGCTACTTTAATCAGCCGGCTCTAGCTCTCACACTTCAGCTAAGATAAAGTATCCTTGGTTTAAACAATAACGAACAGCTTGCAGCGTATAAACATTTTGATATTCTACGGTTTAATTTATTACTCATCATTAAAAATGATTTAGTAGTCTCCTAACTATAAAGTCAACGAACTTAGGTACTAACGCTTAATAACTTAGGGTCCTTGAGTCTAAGCAGCCGCTGGAGGCTCATTTATAAGGCCGTAGAAGAGCACCAGTTTCGTGGGATCGTGGCGCACAAGTACCATGAATGGAGTGTCCCCCCGGAAAACGACATCGGGACCGGATTTCTTAAGGTACGTGACCGAAGACGCCGCCGCCTCCGTGCCCTGCTCGTTGACGGTGAAGTCCACTTTGTGGACAATGTCATCCACCACCAAATCGGAGCGTGCTCCTCCCGCTCCGGCTCTGCGCTGTGCCTCCAGATTCTGCAGGCTGTTCCCGCCCAGCGAATTCGTCCTCGCGGCCTCGTTGGTGGCGATCAACGAGAGATCATTCTGCACCACGCTGAAGATGCCGCCCAGCCCCATTTTCTGCATGACTGTCTTCAGGTTCACCGACTCTGTGAGATGCATCTTTGGGAATGCCACCACGGCTGCCCGTCTGTACATCCTGCTGATCATGTCCTCGATATTATCCGCCGTCAAGCGTTTCTGCAGTGCCGTTAGCTCCCTCACCGAGGACTTAAAGGGCTGGATGATGTACATGGTGCTCAGATTTCCCCTGTAAGGCAGCCCAATGATCTTGCAGCCCATATCGTGATCCTCGTGGTACGGATACGCGCCTCCAGTGGCCATCATCTGCACCCTTATAGCCGGCTCAGTTCCCTCTCCATTGGGATAGAAGTTATCCGGCCGCGTGGCCGACTCTATGAAGTCCGTTTCCCAGAATGCCTTGAAGTACAACGCGTTGGCCAGGATCATCCTGGTGCTCTGCGGAATATCGCTGGAGATGATGTTCTCGATGTGGTTCTTCGTGTGCTTCGCCACCCAGGCGTTGATGTTGTAACGTGCTGTCGCCGGATTGCCCTCGAAATCCTGAACCTCCAGATCCGAGGCGTAGACCTCGGCGATCACCCGTCTGAAATTGCACAAAAGTGGAGCTCATGAGTAAAAAGTCAACAAGGCGCAGCTATTAGTATGCCAATGTCGTCGTGCAAAGTGGAGCAACATTATTGGGATATTGGGAACTGGGGATGGGTCGGAATCGTAATTTTTAGTGAGCTAAAAACTTGCAAAATAATTTGTTTTCCTTTTTATACCCGTTACTCGTAGAGTAAAAGGGTATACTGGATTCTTTGAAAAGTATGTAACAGGCAGAAGGAAGCGTTTCCAACCATATAAAGTATATATATTCTTATTGGTCCTGACAATACCCGAGTCGATCTGGTCATGTCCGTCTGTCCGTCCGTCTGTCCTTCTGTCCGTATGACCGCCTCGATCTCAGGCATGCAGCTTCCAGAGACATAAACGCGGCGCAATGCTGCCACGCCCTCTCCAACGCCCACAAACCGCCAAAAACTGTCACGCACACACTTTTGAAACAATTTTAAATTTTTACAATTTTTTTCCCCAGCTTTTACCGATATTCCAGAAAATTATGAAAGTTCTCGTTCGCACTTCCACTAGCTAAGTAATGGGTATCTGATAGTCGGGGAACTGGACTTTAGCATTCTATCTTGTTTCGATTACTGTTAAGTATTTAATTGCGCTTTCTTATCAGTGTGCTTTTTATTGCACAAATTTCGGGATTTCATTGTTTCAAATATATATACATATGTAGTATATATTTTGACCTAAGGTACTTAATTTGCTGATAACAAGTATAGCGAATTAAAATTAGCAGCAATAGGTTAGAATTGTATAATTTCCACGCCGAATCAAATATATGCAAATATATCAATTCGTTCTGGTTTTGATTGCTCCGACTCAAATTGATTATAGCCACTTCACATGTTGTAATAAAAACTTGGAAGTTCTTACTAAATCTTCTAAACTTGTATGCGTACATATATATTTCTCAATGAAAGCTCGGGTTTTAGAGATTCATAAATATAAGTGATAAAGCTGATTGCTACACAGCTACACAGAAACATAAATATGACTCTTGCGTGTGTTATTTTTTTCCCTTTGTATATCTTCTTGGAATATAAATGAAGTGCAGGTCTCGAAAATTTCCCTCAAAAGCACCACCTTCAAGAGGCTTTAAATGGTTAATAAAAATGGGTGAGCTCATGCTGCTGGCTAATGAACCTGTTCCCCCGACTTGGCAATCAGGAAAGGAGACGCAGCCTTCAGTTTTTCTCGGTGTAGCACCTCAAGGCGATCGCCAATCGTCTGGCATTACCCAGCGCCCATCCCCAGCCACATATCGCTATAGTTCCAGTTTGCAGCCGGATAATTATCCGCTGCGAAGCTCACCTGTAGTCAGGGTTGAGTGAGTAGCCGGTCTGTGTGAACAGGCCGTTGGCCAGGTGCACCTCATGAGCACCCGGTCGCTGGGCCCGTCGATTGGATCTCATGGGGCTGCTGGCCCGCCAGTTGGTCAGGGGTCGTCCCGGCGAGACCGCCTCCCTGGTGGGCTGTTGCAGGTCCTGCAGCATCAGGCCGAACTGCTCGTGCAGCCTGGCCGTGTCCGAGGTACCGAACACCGCGGACAGCTCCTCGTAACTGCGTCCCTTGGCGCCCAGGAGCAGCAGGGCCAGCGAGTACACGATGCTCAGGGGGGAGAATATCTCGGTTTTACCGCTGGCCAGGTGCTGGCCCAGAATGTTGCCAAAGTTCAGCACACTGCTCGCAATCCTATCGGAGGTGGCCAGATCCACGTTGCCGCCGGATTGGGCAGCCGGAAGCGGCTGCGACCCCGGAGCGCCTGATATGCGATTCAGCACGGGGTCGTTCTGGTCGCCAAGGCCGTGCACAAGGCCGTTCACCAGGCCGGGCGACTGGAGGTGCGCCACAGGTGGCAGTGGTATCGGCTCGATGTGCTGCGACTCCTGACGCCGCATCTCCTGCTGCTGCTGCTGCTGCTGCTGCTGCCGCTGCTGCTGCTGCACGAGTCCGTTTATGTAGGCCATCGTTTCCGGGGTCCGCAGGCCCTCCCGAAAGAGTTCCGAGCCCCAGCACACCGCACTCAGGAGCAGAAGCGCCACAAGCGAGCGCCACATTTTGCAATTTTAACCTCGCAGGCACACAGAACGAACTTTATATAGGGAACTCTTACTATGTGTGTATGGATGATCGCATGTATGCCCGTATGTAGTTCCTTTGTGTTTTCTGGGTGCGAACGCGATGTGGTTGTGCGAGTTGTTAGAGCCCGACTGAATTGGTGGCGCTCAGCGCTCATCTTTATAAAACTGGAATCGGAAACTCGTTGTCGAGCAAAAACGCTCCTTCTCGCGCTCTGGCGCTGGCTCCGGCTGCGGCTCTGCATCCCCAGCTGATCTCGGAGAGCTTTCGCGGACGAGTCACTGGTTATACCCCGGCTTTGTTTACATGGGTGCCTCGATCCGCACTTGTTATTGATCTTCGATGATCGGCACTTTCTGCGCTCATGTACTGCCCCCATCAGCATTCTGCGAACTTTTGTGCGGAAATCCATTCAAGCCCTCTCCGCCCATCTGTAACTATCTATCTCAAACTGTGACCGTGACGCACATCTGGTATTCTCTCGCTCCTCGTTCCCGTTGAGCAAATATTTTAAATATTTATTAGCGGTTGCGTACTCTCGGTCTTGTCATTGGAAAGTTCGCGCACATTGAGACTGGCATGGAGCCGTGGGGTTTCCCAGCGCTAGGATAAGATGGGCTGGTCCATAAGAACTATGAGTATACGGAGTTTAGACGGGTTTTGTTGACGACAGTAAAAGCCGTCGCACAAGCCCATCGTAAATTATTAATAAGCGTTACTTGCTCTGTGAGGGAATTTAGATTCGATGCGATGAGTAATTTGCCTCTGTAATGCCAGCTACCAAAAAACGATAAAGGTGTTGTGTAAGTTCTGTATCTATCATTATATTGTTATTAAATGTGTGTTAGTTCATTTCAGTTGCTGTTTCTGATAACTGATCATTTTGAAAGCAACGAAAGATTTCATCTCACGTTTCGGTATGAAAATATACACGTGAAACGTGACTATATTTTTGAACGGTCAAAAGGAAGGTGAATAACATTTTAATATTACGCGGCTTACTATCCAAAAGAACTCGGATTGTATATTCATTTGGCACTTTATAAATATTTTTGTTAACAACAAACCAAATATACATGTAAACATTGTTTCTACCACATCCAATTAATTTACAACAAGATTACAACTCATCTCGCTTATTCAAGCTTCGTTGGTTAGCTATTGTTGAATGAGCTGATGAACTAACAAAGTACGAAATTCGTATTAATAATTGTCACGCGATTGTGAACTTCATAATAAATTCATCGTTATAGATTAACAATTGTTGCTCACGTGAAATAGCACACTTTTCCAGAGTTCTTATAATTTTCAGACCAAATAAAAATAAAACAACAGAAGCATCAAATGCAATGCTTGTAATCAAAAAGGTATTCTGATAAAATGGCAACTAAGATTTCTCCCGATGTGTATTATTTTACCTTTCAAAGCTCACTCTTCTTCATTATAAAAATAGAATCAATTGTTCACTTACATTTATTTTAATAATAATGCAAGTGGTATTTTTTGGTTTTCTTTCAAATGGTCTGCCTTCAAACCTGCATGTGAACCCAATATGTATTGTCTATAGCTCGGAAGCCCAGTTTCTCGAACATGCTCCTCGAAGCGGTGTTCTTCGTCACCACTGGGGCCAAAACTTGCTCTCCAGTTGCGGAAATCTTCTTGGCCATCGACTTCACCATCAAGCTGCCCAGGCCGAGGCGCTTGTGTGACTCCAGAACCTGCAACAGGCCCAAGGATCCAATCGGCAATCTGAAACAGGAACGCACATCAATTAATGGGTTTATTTGTAAATACATTTTGATGGCTTACCGCAGACACCACGCAACCAACTTTCCGTTGTCGTCGTAGGCTCCCAAGTTGAGATTATATTTAATTAAACTTCTCACAAAGTCTATGGAGCCGGGTGCACGATGAGGCCAGATTTCATTGATAGTTTCGGCATCTTCGAGGGCCAAGTTGAGTAGAGTAATGCCCGGAGGAGCCCTAAGTTAGAATGACTCTAAGCATTGAGAATCGAGGGGTTTCAGGTATAAACTCACTGAATAGTAAACGAATCTACGAGTTCCTTGCTGGCACTGTACCAAACCGTCTCATTTAAGTGCAGTTCCTTAGTGGTGGAATATTTGCTGTCAATATACTCCACCACGGGCTTCAATCGAGAACCAAACCCGAAGAAAATGTATTCACCATCAATGTACTTAAGACATTCTAGGGCTTTCGTCACGCGATCCAAGTTGTCGCTCAGAGTGTTGAAGTAAATATGGGTCATACGTATTTCCGAACCTAGCTGAGATTAGACAACATTCACGAACCAACTGCTGCGCTTGCATCTTTCGCATGGCTTACGGTTAGAACAAAGGTTCCATCGCTCCGCCAGTCCCCATTCAGCGACAGGAAACTGACTTTCAGTTCCGGGTCCATCTCCACCCACTTGATGAAATTATTTATGCACGAATAGCCCTGGGGATCCGTGTCCCTGTGGAGATACGAATCCCGCAGCTTGGGCCACTCGCTGCGTGGAATTTCCACCAAAGAATCCTCCGCGGACATGACGACGACCTAGCGCAACAAAGGCTGATCGAATACTAAACTTGAAAACAAAGCGAGCAAAGAGAAGCGTTTTCGGAACCTAACATACATACATATGCATCATGCACATAAAGTAACAAATGCGAAAGGCAAATATTGATTACGAGGCAAGTTGAAGCATATGAGACGTTTAAAGTCTCTATTTAGTGTTTAATCGTGAAAAGCAGGGTATCACTGCCCAGTAGAGTTTGTTGATGGGCGTGAACCCCAGTTTCTCAAACATTCGCCGGGAGCCCTCGTTTCCAGGAACAACCGTGGCCAGGACCTCTGACCCCGTTGACTTGATTTCATGGGCCATAAAGCGCACTGCCAGGGATCCCAGGCCCTTTCGACGGTGTGAGGATAAAACGTGCAGGTTGCTCAGGCTTCCATGAGGAGATCTAGAACAGGCGGAGTTTTTCAAGAACATGAGCAGACAATCTCTTCTCCTCACCTGAGGCACCAGGCTAGGGGTTGCCCTTGGGTACTAAAAACACCAGCAGTGAGATTGTTCTCCATAAATCCCCTTATCAAACTCAAAGAATCAGCTGATCGATAAGCCCAGTGTCTGTCGACCAAGTCGGCATGATTCGGGGTCAGATAAGCAACTTTGCAAGTGTCACTTAAGCTAAAGAAATGGAAGTTGGTATACATTGTTTCCTTACTAAGTGGTTCACTTCACCTCGGTTTCCAACTGGGTATTTTGGTGCTTGGCAGGTGGTAGACAATAGCGGCCTGGTGTTCAAGACTAGTCAAATCCTGCCCGACACTCAGCCAGTATGCCTCAACTAATGGTTTTAATCTGTCTCCATAGCCGCAGATCAAATGGAACACATTCAGTTTTAGAGAGCACAACAGGTTTCCCAGATCTTCTAGGGATCCCTTGATGGTATCTAAATAAATATATACCTTGTCATCCAAATAATGCTGAAATATAGACCTTAAGTCCCAATTCGCAGTTCTAAAATGGTTCTATTACCCTACATTAAGTACATAACTGCCGTGTGTTGCCCAATTCTCATCGGTTGTGTATATTGCTATGGACTCGGATCTGGATAAGGGTATGTAGTTTATAAAGTACTCGATTAAGTCGAATCCCGTGAGATTAGTCCTATCATTCGCGTACAGATCTCTGAGCTCTGCCCACTGAGGCTTTCCAATTAACTTAAAGGCCATCACATTTGTTGCTGAGGCATTACAAATGATACTGATGTTTTTCTCCTCACTTGCAAAACAATTTTTACTGAGTGTTTGTTTATAGTTCTCATCAAAATCCCAATCTCTTTCGCGTTATCTTCGTTTACTCACTGACGTCACAAATGTTCCTGTGCTCTTTTGTAGACACCTTCTAAACTCATCGGTTTTAATCGAGTTCTTATACTCATTTTTGCGTTGTTATTGAGTGATCGCCAACTGTAGAAATTCGCTTAGATTTTTATCGATTCTTTAATTTTTAAAAATACTTGCTTATAATTTTGTTGTATTTTAGTGTCTATGTAAATTAGCATTCTTTAGTATTATTCATGTTGTATCTCTATAAAACAAAAAACTCTATACGCAACAAAAATTAAAACTTTGTAAGCAGTAAAAAAAGGAAAATAAAATGACTTAAATTTCCAACTTACCGAAAAACTTAACTCTCAGTTAAACAAGGAAATCAATTTTTCAATCAATCAGTAACAATAAAGAAATCGTTTCTGTGAGTGTATCTTCCGAGGAAATAGCCACTACGCAAAACATTACAGTTACAGTCTGCGTTGACAGAACTGAACAAGATTTAGGGCCATTTAGGGGCCACGCCCCCTCACACACTCGTTACCCCAACTAATTAGTTAACTAAGACAATCCGCAACTAGTAGCCATCAAAGTCAATAATGATTCACGACAATCTACTCTGCGAGCTGATCAATTTACACACGCATCTCTGCTTTTTGGACACCCGAGGCCATCAACTAAGTGACACCGGTGACCCAGCAGAGGCACATGGCATACTATGGTACAGATGTAAAATGGAACGATCGATTCTATTTTCAGTATCATTCGAATGTTGGAGCTTTATAGACCGCTTCGAACCACCTCCATCGACGGCGATGACGTGATCACAGCTGTTACAGTTTAAACTGACTCGATTTTGCATTCCGCGGGCAGCTTAAGCCAAAAATGACACGCCAGTTAATTGCGGACAGCGCAATTGTGGGGTTCTAGAGAAGCAGCAATATTCCGAAGTACACACCACGAAATACCACTCCTACAAATCCATCAGAGAATCAACCAAGTGCGGCTTATCATCGCCAGGCGAACCGGTTTGCCCAACAGATAAAGCCACCAAACGCCCGCATTCGACAAATAACTGGGTGTAGTTATAGTGCGACTTGGGACATGGGTCAAAAACTATCCTGTGGCAAAGAGTGCGGCGATTGGAGGTGGTGCACAACTAAGGACCGCGAGGAGCCAACGCTGCGTATGCGCAATGCCAATGCCAACTATTTCACGGCTGCTCCACAAGGCGACCAAACAGGTTGGTTTAAGTCGCCAAATAAATAAAGACATAGCTTCTTACTAAGTCGGCCATATACTGCAAAGTTAAACAGCAAGTTGACATTTAAATTTTACCCCAACCCATATTTAACCTGTAATCTGAACCTTAAGACCTCGAATAATGCGTTTTTTCGATTTGATGTGCTTCTCAAATTTCTCAAATTGATTTATTTTATGCTAGAAGGCCGTTAAGTGAGATTTTATCTGTGCGTTCCGCTTACCAACGTCTAAAATTGATTTACTTTGTAGTGTATAGTGTATGGCAGCGATCCAAGCAATTAAGTATTTGTTCTATAACTATTTGCCTTTTATGAATGCAAATTTGTAGCCGTGGGTGTTAGACACTCATGGACGGGCTACCCACAGAGTAGTTTCTCCCCCGAATTGCTCATTTCATGCCTGTAATTTTGAAAATTAAATTTAAATAAACAAAGCATGAAGCAGCACCTGTTGATTGACAGATAGCTTACACAGCAGTTTGTATCGCCAAAAATGTGATATTTAAACAAATGCGATGATAAGCATCCAACGAAATGATTAATTTGCCACTGCAAATCGATGTAGGGTTTTGCCTTACACGGAGAGCACTCCACACTCACCTAATGACCATGTAGATCAAGATGTTGCCAATGAACGATGACGTAGTTGGTGGTCACAAAAAGCCAACAGCCTCTTGGCCACAACGGGTCCATCGCCGCCTTTGCCCCGAAGCTCGGCTTTGCGTCCATAATTAATAATAGCCCGCCAGAACTCAGAGTGCCAGAGAGACAGAGAAATACCTAGAGAATCGTTGAGAGAATTACACACTCGAAACTTGTGGCCCAGCCAATTTCCGATCAGTTAAGTTCAAAGCGTCGCGCTGTTCGCATCGAAAGATCTTCTGGCGGATCCCGTAGAACGACTATCTATCTATCTGCAGAGCGCAGTTTCCGTTAGTTCGATTCTTCTTTAGCCGCTATTACCGGTGTAGCCCCTCCAGTTAACCGTAACGCATAAGTTGCGGCTTAGAGCGGTCTTCCTCCATAAAAAGCATCGCATTAGTCGGAGGCCAAAAAGAGCCAGATGAGCTATTGGTACCGGAACTACACGCCCACTTGGCTCCAGCGATGGTGGCCCAATTCGCCGCCCCGAAGAGTGAATCCTTTTCGCAACACACGTCCTTCTGCAGATCTTGAAGGTACATCCAAAATGACATAAATCAATGGGTATTTTATATCTAGGAATATTTATGAGTCATTCCAATGGGATTTCAATTGGTTTGGTAGTGGCTTTTTTGGTTTATGACTTCATTTTGTCCGATTCTGTTGTTTGTTTCAAATTCTTGCTTAAGTTGCTCAACGGGTTCAAAAGGGCTTCCCAACAAATATATATGATTAGCTTTTTCAATTCAAAGGTATTACTTCAAACGAAGATTTTTATCATTTGCTACAATCTTCAAGTCTTACTCAGTTTGTTTGAACAAACCGTTTCCGCATTATCATTGGAATTTTATATAATATTGCTCAATAGATTTTTTCGTTGATCTATGACTTCATTTTGTTTGCTTTTGTTTTGCGCATTTCTATTTCCGTTTTCAATTTGCATGTTGGGCGATTTGACACGTTTGGGCGGTTTTACTATTCACTAGTTTGCGAAACTTATATACAAATATGCGCTTAAACAAAACTAAATACATTCCATAGACAAGCAAATATTTGAATTGATCGGTCTACTATATTTACATATGCACATTGCAATTGAAAACGCGCCGCATGAGAAGATTTTCTATTTTAGCGTTTGATTGAAGATGAAACAAGCCGAATAAGGTGATCAGATCAGCCATGTGGAAACATGTGCCCCAATAAATCATAATTGCGAGTAATTCCGATTTAAGTTCGATGCTTATCACTTAAAGAGCTTACACTAAAAATGCTTTTACTTATTATTCGAATAAATCCGTGCATGCTCGTGAGAAAGAAATCGAAGAAATCTATTTTTATGTCCAGCATTGCGACCCGCAGTGACCTCAGTAAATTGAATTTCATTCGCTTCTTTCCCTGTTACTGGAAGCCTAAGAGTCATTTTTATAAAAGGTATTGTTTTCTAATCTGATCTAATTAACCCGCGTGCCGCTGTTTTCACTTCCAAAGCGTTCTGCTTTTATTGGTTACCCTACGGCAGAAGTATTGCTTCTATATTATGCTTTGATATATTATTTAAATTTTCAGCTGGTTCTAGTGGTGCGTTGGTGTCGCTTTTATTGTCCACCACGAAAATTAATTGGCTTGGCAATGATCTTTTTGCCATTGTGCCACAAGTTGTTATGTTTATGGTTAAAGGCGATTAGTCAATTTGGTGCTGCAGCTTTGGGGAATACAACTAGCAGCACATTTGCTGCATGAGATCATCGTTTGCCACAGGCAAAAATATCTTTTGAAATCGAAAACTAATTGATGACAGATTTTATTCCGACCCTCACGAAATATACTTGTTATTACTCACAAACAAAATACTTGGATCAACTCATAATCTGCACAGTTTATACAGTCGAAGTTTTGATCTTAACCAACAGATGGCGCCAGCTCGGCAGTGCTGGGTGTGTTGAGGGTGGATCTGTGCCAGGAGGACAACCACGATGAGCACCACACGAGCCACTTCTACGCGGCGGCTGCCAAGGAAGCCCTGGTGGTGAGGCGCGGAGAGCCCTTCAGGCTGAAGATCCACTTCAATCGGGACTACAGTCCCAGCAAGGATGCCATCAGCTTCATTTTCACGGTGGCGGATGACACCAAGCCGACGCCCGGACATGGCACACTCAATGCGCTGGTGCCGCACGATGGCATCGATTATCTGGGGGACACTTTGGAATGGGGAGCCGGCATTGAATCGCATGAGGGTCAAACGCTCACGGTGCTGATTAAGCCCCCATCCACCTGTCCCGTGACGGAGTGGAAACTGGACATCGACACGAAGCTGCTGGGCGATGGATCGAGGAGCTATGCCCTGCCGCTGCCCATCTATGTGCTCTTCAATCCTTGGTGTCCGGACGACCAGGTGTACCTGGAGGATCGCGACCAGCGCAAGGAGTACGTGATGCACGATACCACACTCATCTGGAGGGGATCCTACAACAGGCTGCGGCCATCGGTTTGGAAGATCGGCCAATTCGAACGGCATGTGCTCGAGTGCAGCCTGAAGGTACTGGGAACGGTGGGCAGGATTCCACCGGCCTACAGAGGCGATCCCGTGAGGGTCGCTCGTGCCTTGTCCGCTCTGGTGAACTCGGTGGATGATGATGGTGTCCTGCTCGGCAACTGGTCGGAGGATTTCTCCGGCGGCGTGGCACCCACCAAGTGGACCGGCTCCGTGGAAATCCTTCAGCAGTTCCACAAGACCCAGAAGTCGGTGAAGTTCGCACAGTGCTGGAACTTCAGCGGTGTTTTGACCACCATTGCCAGGAGTCTGGGAATACCCTCTAGGATCATCACTTGCTACTCCTCCGCTCACGATACACAGGCCTCCCTCACCGTGGACGTGTTCATCGACTCCAACAACAAGAAGTTGGATGCGGAGACCACGGACTCGATCTGGAACTACCACGTGTGGAACGAGCTCTGGATGCAGCGACCCGACTTGGGAGTGGGTGAGCATGGCACCTTCGACGGCTGGCAGGCGGTGGACGCCACTCCGCAGGAGGCCTCCGATAACATGTATCGAGTGGGTCCCGCTTCCGTTTCGGCGGTGAAGAACGGCGACATCCTGAGGCCCTTCGATGGTGGCTTCGTCTTCGCGGAGGTGAACGCGGATAAGCTCTATTGGCGCTACAATGGACC